CATCGTTCTGGCAACCATCTGCGGACGCACATTGTCCCATAATCAGCAATACAACATACGGTGCCTGCATGGCGATGGTGAAGCAGACTGGTCAGACTGGGACACTTGGTTTGATAACATTCTGTCGGCAAGACTCCAGATTTTGTCCAAGTGTTACCCCTCTCCCACGACGGGATACGACCCCATGCTTCTCTTTGCGCACGTCATCGCTCAGGCATCCGTTATATACCTATGCAAGGAAATCAAATCCATGGTCTGGCCAAACGGGAAAGCCAGATCGCTTCGTACAGAGTATCAACAACGAGCGTTGAATGCTGCCGAACATATAGTCAAGCTTGCCTATGCGCTTGTGGAATTCAGCGTCTTCAAGGTAATTGCTTCAGCCTCGATAACCCACGCAAGACGGCCACTAATAGAGCCAAAATATAGGTTCATCCTCTCATGCCGATTCCAATATTCCTTTGTGTGGAGTTTTTGTTTGCCAATCGACAGCTACCCCGGGCCGCTACGCTGTTGCGGCAACTGTTGGATGCCCTCAGCCAGCTAAAGAGTGTCATTAACCCGAAGCAAAATTACGTTATGCTTCTGGACTTGACTCACATTTTCCCACTGCTCAACACAATGGATAATCAGACGGCAGGGGCCGCAATGAGCCAATAGCTGGCCTCTACGACGGGGTTTCGACTTGGGAGCGGAGTTGGCTAATGAAAACGACAAAAGGCGCTTGAACCTTGTACATTTGGAGGTTATTTTTGATTTATGAAAAGCTTCTGGGTAAAAGAAACGAGTACAGTGAGGATAGTCACAAAAATATATACGACCACGATCCATTATTCCCCTTTCTGTAGTTTTGGCATCAACCGCCATGGCCATCTGATCGTGCTGGAAACTGCATTTAATGTAACCCTAACTAGCTTCGTACGGAATCTTGTTGGTCGTGATAGATGCAAGCAGGTGCATCTTGGCCAACATCGATAGTCCAACGTGCAGTGTAACTGTAGTGTCGTGGTACGTGAGCAGCGGCTTCCTCCAAAGTTGTCTCACAGCTCAGACCTAACAGGACCCAGCAAATGGAGACGTCACGCGTGATACAGAGAAATAACTGAAACTCAACTGAAAGCATGCTCCCTTGTGACGTAGATGTCGTCTCATTGGCCACGACGGCGGTTGAATCCGCTACCCGATGTGGCCGTAGACTGCTCGCGCTTCGCGTCCATCTCAGTCGGAGAAAGCTCGCGGCCAGTGGATATTCCGAGATGGGGTATACATTTTCAAGTTGCTGTGCATTCCCGATATGGGCAAATGCCACTTTGTCTGATGCGGCCTCGCGCTTTCGCTCTTATGTGCGGAGTATCTTCCTTGTTACACTCGCGATACATTGGCTGGAATTGGTGGTCAGATCGGAGTTGGTTGCTATGTCCGTCGAAGAAAATGCGTTTTTTGGCAGCAAATGGACGATGGAGGAAGTTTATAAATGAAGTATTCGGTGTTGTATAATCTGAAGGGAGAGAAAATTGCCATGAGTCATCTACAATAGACTTCAAGATAATAACTTGGCACCTCCCGCCTCCTATATCACCCAAGATCAACTACCTGCCTCATTTTTCGCAGTAATTGGCAACCCAGAAAACAGCTCGTGGCTCAGACAGTAAATTGTCGCGCAACGATTTGAGAACCCTCTCTCATCTATATCTATATCTAAAAGACAATATTGAGTATATCAAAATGGGCAGCAAGACTCCCGACGCCATTCCAACCATTGACATTAGCGATTTTATTTCGCCCACGTCGACTGAAGCACAGAAGCAGGCCGTTGTCGACAACGTTCGCCATGCCTGTACAACTTATGGATTTTTCCAGGCAGTTGGCCACGGGGTCACTGTTGACGAGCAAAAGGAGATTCTAGATTGCACTAGACGCTTTTTTGCTCTCCCAGAAGAGGACAGGATGGAAGTCTGCGTCTCCAAGTCCATGGGAAAATCTCTTCGCGGCTATGAGCCACCTCTGATTCAGACTCACCACAAAGGCTTGATGCCGGATATCAAGGAAGTAAGTCAATTAGGCGTCGTTTCCAAGCTTTGGTGGCTTCCTTAACAATCCCAAGGTAGTAATCACCATATCTGTTTGTCCCGAGCTAATCTTGATATCCGCCTATTATCTAGACGTTCATGGTAGGGGCCGAGATTCCACCTGATCACCCCGACGCTGGTTCCTTTTCTACGGGGCCCAACCTGTGGCCCTCCAAGATACCCGAGGATCAATTCCGCAAGCCAGTCATGGACTATCAGGCCAAGATGGTTAATCTAGCCAAGGTTCTTTTGAAAATCCTTGGCCGGGGTTTGCCCAAAGAATGGGGTCACCCGCCAAGCGTGCTTGAGAAGCTCGCGGAAAATCCTTCCATCCCCATGAGGATGCTTCACTACGCGCCACAGGAGGTTCTCCATGATACACAATTTGGAGGTGAGAGATTTTTGGACCAACCCACCTTTCCCCGTGGACAAACGACTTGGCACTGACATGGCTGCGCCAACCTAGTTGCTGACCACACCGACTTTGGTTGCATTACTATTCTTCTTCAGGAGGCAGTTAGCAAGGGCCTTGAAGTATGGTATCCTCCAACTGAGACCTGGATTCCGGTTCCGCCTACCGAGGGCGCCTACGTCATCAACATGAGCGACATGATGATGAAGTTGACTGGTGGTTATTACCGCAGTGCACGCCACAGGGTTGTCACCAACCATCGAAATCATCGATATAGTGTTGCCTTCTTCCTGAATGGCAACCTGAAGCTGGTTGCGAAGGCGTTGGATGGCTCGGGCACCGAGGTTGTGATTGGCGAACACATCCGCCAAAGACTTATTGAGACCCTCGGAAAGACGGGCGAGATGCTCAAATAGTGCGCATAAGGGGAAACTCCTATTCAGGGAGAATAGCAAACCGCCAAATCTTGTCCCCTGTTGCTAACAGCCCCGTCTGAGGTTACACCTGGGGATGTAGATATCTAGTGCTCAAAGAGCAAAGCCAAATGAACGGTTTATATTGAATCTGTTGCGTATTGGTAAATGCAAGCGAACCATGCTCTTCTGACCTATTGATTCCATGAAACGGGAGCGGAAATCTACAAGACCTATTGTTAATTTTGTTTTGCCAGTTGTTTCCCACCCAGGCCCACATAGAGAAGAGCGTTCTGATAATATCATGTTACTCCAACGTATTGCTGAGGTAGAACTCTCAAACATGATGAGGACTTTGAAATACGCTTCCCATGACAGTACAATAACCCTCGGCCAGCCTCTTCGCCAATTTGAGTATGCCTCTCGACATAGTTTACTTGCACGAGCTACTGAGTCTTGGAGGGACAGGTTTAAAAAAACTTATTTCTAGATGAAGGTATAGGTTAGCAGACCTCCAGATCGGGAACCCTAGAGCGTACAACCATACGACCGTTGGCGCCCCTTCGATGCATCTGAACTTGCCGGCAAGTTCGGAAACGTTGAGAACACCCTTTCGGGGCCGACGGCAATGGACATGCCACCGGCTTCTAGTATGCCCGGTTAATGACAATCCAAGTCCCTGTTAGAAAGAGGCCGTGGAATGCCGGAGCCAAGGTATCCTTGTGGGCCTGTTGTGGGCGAATATTTATGCCAAGCTACCGCTTTGTGACGTGTCAGAATCCTCGATATGCATCCTTGGTGGCAAGAATTGTCTTTGATAGTTGACCTGGAAATACGGAGGTCGGGTACAATTATGAACACCCGCCTGGTTCCCGAGACGTCCCTGCGGATTGCTTCCGATCGAGATATATTCACCCCTTTCCAGCTAAAAGGAAAGAAAATTGAGCGCAAAAAAAGGTAAAAATTAAGTTAAAATGAAACTTAAATTCATGTTTCATGATAGTCAGTAAGGTACAATTGGCTACGATCAACGTTAGTCTCGGGGCTATCTTCTACCTACGGAGTAGAGTTACACTCGGTTAGTTTAGGGCGGCGATATCCGCTCCATGGGACCATATTCCCCATAAAAAAGCGATTTGTAAAGAGTTTCAAACGGGGAGAGGATGCGTATACTGCATTGACTCCTTATCTGCCATGTCTTCGCTCTTGTTGCTGCACTCTGACATGCGAATTCGTTGTTTCCGCGACGTACTCATTGTGTGAGATGTGGCACGCCTTGAGCTTGCTCCTGGTCATTTACGAATATGACCTCCACAACGGGCGGACCGCCGGATATCGTATTTCTATAGATTACGAGCCCACCGAATTGCAGGGGTTATGATATTAGTATTGCACACGTGTCCTGAATGCTTCGCCACACAATTTCGACCAGCAACGTAACGTAACCTTGGGCTATATAGCAGATTTAATTGTTGGCAGTGGTGGATTTCACGCATGGTTTTGAGGTGTTATGAGCGGTTTTGCGGCTTCAAGAAACCGCCGCTTTCTGATAGATTCTAAGAATCGTCGTGGGCAGAGTTCGTCTACCGAGTCGGGTGTCAGAGTTGGGGCTTTTCTTAGAGAAGCAAACGCTGCATCTTCCAGTTTATCTCGAGATTCAAATGGCTAACAGTGGACTCATATCCGTCTCTAGGACGTAAGTATAGAGTATAATACTAAACAAACGAAAACATAATTGTTTTGGACAACGGACTCTAAGCGATACCTAGATTTTAGCTCCGTGCAACCCAGGGAATTCTTCAGCATTCAATCAGACCAAGATCCAACTGATAACCAAACGAACAGAAGTCTATAGCTATTACCAATACAATTTAGTTTAAGGCGGCGGACAGGACAACCTGACTCAGTTTTCTCATGGCTTTGGGCTTAAGAGGGCATTGATATTAATCGCGGTTTATTGAACAAAACTACAGCTACAAAATACAAACGACGTCCAAAACGCCCGTCAACTCCGTTCCATCATTCATCGGTCAACATCACAAGTCGTGCTCTTGTGCCATCCTACAATCAGCGCATGTATTTTCGCTCACCTGCCCATGAAGCTGCCTAAGAGACCATCACATCTGTGGTGCAGCTTTGGCCAGGTCCAGCTAATAGCTCGGCATGCGTCTCGATCGACAGCGTTTTCGAGTCGCCGATACCATTAGCCAGCGTTTTCGTCTTGTCTATTGGTTCCAGAACATTGCCATTGACGAGAGAACTTGCCTTGACGTCGCCGTTTGTAGCAGACGCTTGCTTTTCAAGGCGACTGATGAGCATGCCATAGCTCTCAGCAGCCTCCGCAACCATTTGACGGAAGTCATAATTCCATATCTTATAAGTCCGGTCTTTGAGCTCCTCCAATGTCGACTCTGCCTTGAGCCACTTTGTCGGGTCTGCCCATTCTTTCTGCTGGTGCAGATCGCAGATTCGTCGACTGCTCTGCACCAGCCACTGGCTGCGAGTCCTCCTGATGTCATTGTACACGGCAAACGCGGAGGAAATGACCTGACTTTTTGACAGTTTTCCTTTTCCGAGTTTCATCGAGGCGTCGGCCATCAGAACCGAAAGGACAAGTGCGTCTTCTACCCCCATGCCGGCGCCGGCACCATGATGCGGGCTGCTGGCATGCGCTGCGTCTCCAGCAACACATATCCGGCCTTTGTTATAGAACGGGAGGGGGTAATCCCACAAGTCAAAGACTGCCCATGTAGGAAGAGTCTCTGGCAGATGGCTGATGAGATCTCGAATTGCTGGGTTCCAGTCCCTGAAGCGATGTTCGATATCAGCACGCTGGCCGACAAGCGCCGTCGGTTTATCCTGCGGCCATTCCTCGTCGTTTCGAACAAAGACGGTGACATTGCACATGGTGCCGTGTGCCACGGGGTAGTGAAGGATGTTTGCATCAGGACCCAAGTGATTGTGAAATGCTCTTGCCTTGCGTTCTCCCAGTGCTGAGACGGCCTTCTCCATTGGGATAACGGTAGGGTATGAGTTGACATGAGTATAAGTCGGCTTGCCGGCGGTGCTGTCGGGGCCGAGAACTATATTCCTTGTCTTGGATTTGATTCCATCGCATCCAATGACTGTACTTTCAGTTAGACGCTTTTCACGAACAAGATATACTGCGTCAAGAATTCCCCTCAAAGAGCTGTTCACTCACCGGCGTCGGCTTCGGCCACCGTGCCATCTGCAAACTTGAGCACAATCTTTTCATCGTCTCCGCCCTCGACAACATCTTCTAAGCGCTTCTTGAAAACCACAGTGTCGGATGGCAAGACTCGGATTAGTTGTTCAAGAAGATGGTCTCTGCGAATGCCTTGGATTCCTCGGTATCCCGCATTCGTTTTCAAGTAGTACTTCTGATAGTAGGGATCGCTCTTGTCTCTTTGATTGTAGCCATCAATCCATCGAAGGCAGTCGTGAGGATCGTCCTCGTTGGCGGCGGAAAGACCTACAGCACCACCCATCCTCAAGGCCATGGTCACTTCCGGGTCGATCATTTCTAGACATCCTTGAGCAGCGGGATTGAATGCGATTCCTGTTCCCAGCTCCCGCAAGCCCTGGCCCTGCTCGAAAATCGTGACCTTGATCCGACGCCTTGCCAGACCTGCAGCGGTGATGAGGCCGACGATGCCACACCCTACAATGGCAACCTCGAGCGGGCTGTCTTCTCCTGCGGATTGCGACATCCTGCTGACTGATGACTATTCAGGGCGTACAGATTGGTGGAGCAGAATCAGTATGCAAGTGAGTTGGCATCACACTTGCATGGCTTTTACGAGTCTTTATTTTGAGTAATCCGGGCCGTGGGCTTGGTTGGTGGTGCCCGTGATGGCAAAATTGTCTTCGGAATTGGTTAGTCCGAGAGAATGATGGCAAAGATCCCGAATCTAATCTGATTAGTTGATCGGGGTATCTGTATCGATCTCACACCCTTCTTGGAGCTCGCTTCCTAAACAGCCGAGTCTGTTGGAACCTTGTAGGGCCCATCGGAGTAAGTGAAGGAACCGAGTATCGAAACAAAACAATGGTTGTTTCGAGCCTGAACGGTAAATCTCTCAAGCTTTCTGTGTCTTCTATTGGCCAGGGAGAAGGGTACCACATTACTTTCGTCCCTTATGCCTCGGAGTTTCTCCAATATGCAGTCTCGGGCCGCATGGCTCCCCAGTCATCCTCGGTGGGACCCTTTTGGCTACATTGACCCGTTGACGCATTGCTTGTCGCGATAGGGGACAGATTTGTTAACCTTGATGTTAGAATCTTTGCTCATGGGCATGATTGTTCCACCGAATGCGAGCCATCCCATTCCAACTCCATGCCCGTCTGACAACCCTGGCATTTCTTTCGTTTCCTGGTCTCGGCGGGCTAGTTTTTTTCCCACTCAGAAGAGGATTACTATTCGCCGTATGGAATTACAGGAAGTGTATGGAGTTTGGTCGGCTACTCAAGTCTCCCTTTGAAGATGATGTAAGGCCTTCTCCATCAGATAGACGTACCATATATGAGTAGCTGCTCGCATTGTGTTATATTCCATGTTTCCTTACACAACATAAACATACTTCAACTTTCAGGTCCTTCTCTCTTCAACATTGAGGCGACTAATCGAGATACATGTGCTGAATCAACTGAACTTCAACCGTCACACATCTCCACCTGCCTGCCTACTCTTTCTAGTCCTTCAGACTCCGATTGCTACTTCCAATGCATTCCGATCCGAGATTAGCCAGTCCAAATGGGGCTTTAAATGTATTCCTTTTCGGATCTTTGCCGTTGTCATTCGACCATTCAGAGTTTCATCGGATCCAAAGCACTGTTCGCGGTGATGAGAGTGTTTCATGGATTCTGAAGGTTGTATCAGAGCTACCGGAGCTATGGCAACCCATCTCTGCGGCTCTCGGTGTTCCCAGCGAAAGGGTTGTCGAAGGCTACATGCAGCTTGTTGACCTAAAGAATGCTTTCAACTCGGGCGCTGCGCTGACTACTCCGTACCCGTTGCCAAATAAACTCCTAGTTCCACTGGCAACCATCGACCAGCTTATTCAGTACATGAGCTTCCATAAAACTGCGTACGCCGGTCAAGATGACGAAGCTGACTGGGTATCACGGGCTTCTGCCAAGGGCGAAACGCTGGGATTCTGCACGGGGCTGCTGAGCTCGGCGGCCGTGTCCAGTTCCAAGTCTGCCTCAGATTTCGAGAGATATGGTTCATCTGCAATTCGGCTGGCCGTTGCAGTTGGTGCGGTTGCTGATATGGATGCCAAAGCATCAGCTCAGTCGCCACAGCCCACGAGGTGCCTCGGGACAGAATGGAATTCCGACTCCAAACTGGCCGACCTCCGCAAGATCATAGACAGCCGAGATGATGTAAGTGCCCCCATCTTGACACGAATAGAGCAGGTAATTACCATTACAATCGGTCCAGTGCTGACAATAGTAGACATACATCTCTGTCAACTACGACTACAACCGCGCCACGGTTACTACATCGTTGGCGGCGATGGCTCAAGTGCAGCAAAATATGAGATCAGCAGGATTGCCAGCTTCGGAGATAGGTCTGCGAGGTCGATATCATTCCGAAGAGCACGCGGACGCTCTCAGCGCCCTTCTCCGATTCTGCGATGGCCGCCCCGAATTCCAGTTCCGCGACTGTTCTGACCTCGTGATGAAATCGCGATCCAATACCGGGGGTCAATATTTTACATCCGGCCCACTTCATCACCATGTTCTTAGGTCAATCATCTTGGAGCCACCTAGTTGGTACGAGACTATCAAGACCTTGGAATCAGAGGTGCTCTCGCAAGATGAGAAAGCAAGCATCGTAGCATTTGGACCAGAGCGACCACTGCCGCCTTCCCTGTCACCATCGCTAAGCTCGCGCTGCATTCATGTGTCTGACTCTAGGAACGCGCCGGCCAAAAGCACACGCCAGGGCAGGTCTGGAGGCGTATATCCGGACACCGACATTGCGGTTGTGGGAATGTCATGCAAAGTAGCCGGGGCGGATGATCTAGAAGAGTTCTGGGAAGTGCTCTCTTCCGGCAAATCGCAGCACAAAGAAGTCTCATCGGAAAGGTTCACCTTTGAGACGGCTTTCAGAGACATGGACCCAAAGAGGAAATGGTTTGGAAACTTTATTCGCGCACATGACAAGTTCGACAATAAGTTCTTCAAGACCAGTCCCCGCGAAGCCGCGACGACCGATCCGCAACAACGACAACTCCTTCAAGTGGCCTACCAGGCTGTTGAACAGTCTGGATACTTCCATAAAGAACAAGACGATAGCTCACGAGAAGTCGGTTGCTACATTGGTCTTTGTGGAACAGACTACGAGAACAACATTGCCTGTTATCCGGCCAACGCCTTTTGTGCCACTGGCAACTTGGAAGGCTTCGCGGCTGGAAAGATCAGCCACTATTTCGGCTGGACAGGGCCGGCATTCGTCGTTGATACGGCATGTTCGTCATCTGCTGTTGCCATCCACCAGGCGTGCCGAGCTATCCTGAGCGGCGAGTGTAGTGCTGCTCTGGCTGGAGGCACGCACATCATGACGAGTCCGTATCGGTTCCAGAATTTAGCTGGCGCTTCCTTTTTAAGCACTACCGGACAATGCAAGCCCTTCGACTCCAGGGCAGATGGCTATTGCCGAGGGGACGGCGTCGCAGCCATCTTCCTGAAGAAGCTTTCTGTTGCTATTGCCGACGGAGATCAAGTTCTTGGAGTCATTGCAGCCACGGGGGTGCAGCAGAACCAAAACTGCACACCCATCTTTGTCCCGAACTCACCCTCCTTGTCTGATTTGTTTAGAAATGTATCTACCAAGGCAAATCTTGAACCAGAGGCAATTACTGTGGTGGAAGCGCATGGTACCGGAACAGCTGTCGGAGATCCCGCGGAATATGAGAGCGTTCGACGGGTTCTCGGAGGCACCAACAGAAGCAATTCTCTCGTTCTAGGGTCTGTCAAGGGATTCATTGGACATACAGAGCCAGTGTCTGGAGTCTTGTCATTGATCAAGGTGCTTCTGATGATGAACAAGGGCTACATACCACCGCAAGCAAGCTTTGAGACCATCAACCCCAACATCAAAGCCCAGTCCTCTGACAAAATCGTTATTCCTACCTCCCTCAGGCCTTGGAACGCCGACTTCAAGGCTGCACTGATTAACAACTACGGCGCTTCAGGTTCCAATGCGTCAATGGTGTTGACTCAAGGCCCTTCAAAGATTCCCAAACCAGCATATCACGAGTCGAGCGACAAGAAGTACCCGTTCTGGCTGTGCGGATTAGACGATTCTAGCGTACGACGGTATGCAACAGCACTATTGAAATACATCAGCAATCGCAAAGCCTCATCTCGTGACGCCGAGCTGACTTTGAGGGACGTCTCCTTCAATCTGGCCCGCAAGACCAACCGGTCGCTTGCGCGAAGTTCAATATTCAGCGTCAAGTCACTCGGTGAACTATCACAGGCGTTGAGCTCCATTGCCGATAATAAAGTTGGCTTCTCTACGAGCGCGCCCAAGGCAGAACGACCAGTGGTGCTCTGCTTCGGCGGCCAGATATCTACCTTTGTTGGATTGGACAAGGAGTTATATGACAGAGTCAAGATTCTGCGCCTGCATTTGGATGCAGTAGATTCTGCTGCAAAGAGTCTAGGAGCAGGAAGCATATTCCCCGACATCTTCCACCGCGAACCGGTAAAGGATACCGTGAAGCTACAGACAATACTCTTCGCGATTCAGTATGCAAGCGCCAAGTGCTGGATCGATTCTGGAGTAAAACCTGTTGCCCTTGTGGGACACAGCTTTGGCGAGCTGACGGCATTGTGCGTGTCTGGTATTCTGACACTGCAAGACTGTCTCAAGGCTGTGATCAAGAGAGCGACTCTGGTGCGAGACTTCTGGGGTGCTGAGAAGGGCGCCATGATGGCAATCGAAGCTGATCTGGACAAGGTCCAAGACGTGCTTCAGAAGGCTGCCATGTCTCTTGGATCGAGCAACTCGGCCCCGGCCTCGATTGCCTGTTACAACGGACCCAGGAGTTTCACATTAGCTGGATCAGTCGAATCCATTGACGCAGTTGCTAAAGTCCTGGAGTCTGAACCCCCAAAGACAATAAGGTCCAAGAGGCTAAACGTGACAAACTCGTTCCATTGCAGTCTTGTTGATAACATTGACGCTCAGCTGAACGAGTGCGGACTCGGCCTTTCGTTCCAGAAGCCTACAATTCCGCTGGAACATGCCACTGAGCAGCCATTGGAGGAAGTGACTTCGAGCTTCTTCGCCAAGCATCTCCGCTCCCCTGTATTCTTCGATCGGGCGTTGAAGAGGATCACCAGCAAACACCCGTCCTGCGTCTTCTTGGAAGCCGGGTCAAACTCTACAGTCACAAACATGGCGAGCCGTGCCCTAGGCAACAATGGCGATTTATATTTCCAGGGTGTAAATATTACTGGTGAGCCAGGTACAGCATGGAACAATCTTGTTGACTCAACGTTGAGCCTCTGGAAGGAGGGCCTTACTATGGGTTTCTGGTCTCACCACGGATCTGATGTTCTCTCTCACGAGCCTCTTCTCCTACCGCCCTACCAGTTTGAGCAAGCAAAGCACTGGATGGATCTGAAAGCCCCCCAAAAGACCATCTTGGAAGTTCCCCAGAACAACAAGCCTGACGAAACTGAGAGCAGCCTC